GCCAGAAAGAACTTGTGAATACCAGTAAATGATGATAGATAAGGGCTAAATCTAAGGTACATGGAAATATGACTGGAAGTCTGGCAGAAAAAAGAAAAAAAAAAAAGGAAGAAGAAAAATGGTGAAGCAACCATAAATGCATATCGTCTCATGATAATCCAGCAGTTCACTTAAATTGAAAAGCAAAGCTAAAATAGGTTATCTTATGTAGCATTTTAAGCATGTTTAAAAAAATATATAAATGCAAATCATCCATTGGATAATTAATACTTTCACTCTTCTCTACGAGAATGAGTGAGTCAAAGGACTCTGCATCCCATGTCCTGGACATGTTCAAAAAATATATATATAATTTATATAGAAAAATTAGACATATACCTTCTACGAAAGAGTAATTGTAGTGTGATAAAGTTATCAACCAAATTACAGTACAGTTCATAGCACGCTAAGAATAAAAACAATCATGTTTCAATTTCTTCTGAGATTCTCGAAAGGAGTGATTTTACAGAATTTGTACCATATGAAACAAATTCTGCAATAGAATCAACTCTGGTTAGGTTCAGGAAAGTTGAAAGTAAAGATCTATGGAAAAGTCTGCTGCCCTCTTAGTAGAAAGTAAAACTACAATTCCAAAAAAGAAGGCCTTATAGTATAAGTCAATAACAAATGCAAGTGATAACTCGCTTCAAGAATTTCCACCCTTTCCGACCGATAATGAATTCAGGTTTAGTACTGCTTGGAGAGAACCCTAGAGTTAGGTACTTTAGAACCTTTAAGAGCACAACTTCGCAACAAATGTCAGTTTGTGCTATGAAAAATTCTGGTACTTTTCCTTGAATTATCTTCATAGATCTACTATGATGCGGCTTTCACACCACTTAGTCTCGATATTTAGAATAAATATTGATAATTCTAACATTTTCAGAGAAATAACCTCCAGGGGGTCAAAAGTTTGTCCCCAAGACACCATCTTTCTAAATACTTTTCTGTTCGACTTACCTTGTTTCTTTTGGTGAAGGGATGAATTCCTTATCAATTTTGGATTAATCATGAGGGAGGTGAGTGTGATGGACTCCTGAGAGAGCACTAGAGGAGGCATCTGCTTGGACGAAGAGAGTGGTCCAGAGAAAGGAGTTGTAGAACTATGAAGACCAGATGGCAATGAGCAGTGGTCTATATATTTGAAACTTTCACCAATGAGTTGCCAGCTCCATTTACTTGAGAAACTTAATCTCAACTTCTGGAAAAACAAAAATTCTTAATTTCAACTTTCGGAAAAACTAAAATTGAGTCAAGAAATAAGAGCTAGCTGAAAAGAACAAAAATTTGCTATTGCAAAAGGAAATTAAAAAGGATATGCAATAGAGAATAATTCCTTCATCATTGCAGCTGCATACATGTGGTTGGAAGGACTCAATGGCTTTTTGATATTCAAGTACAATTTTTATTAGTAAGTCTAAGCGGTTTTTTAAAAACTACATATTGTATTTTTGTATTTAAACTGGTCAAAAACATATTTTAACTTTGGTTTTTACCAATCATACTTTGAAGTTTACAGTTTGGTTAAAAAAATGCTTTTAAAATGCAAAAACCAAAACTAATATCCGGCCAAACAGGCCTTAAGATATCCTCCTCAGACAAGTAAAAGGAAAAAACAAATCAAGGAAAAGCAAACAGCCAAAGCCGCTTATGGTAATAGAAGATCGCCTCCCAGTTCCAATGAAGCTCAAAAATTGATAAATCAAAATATTTTCGACGACCCTTGGCAAGGTGACCAAGAATGTCACTCTTTCCCACAGCTCATTGAATTAGGAGTAACGCTGCTGAAATATCCTGCAGTCTCTCTCGAGTCAGATACTCCACAAACCAGCAAAAAGAGTCTCTTGCCATAGTGGCTTTGCCTTCTTCCTTATCCTTACTCCCTAAAAACACTCTCATAAAGTTCTCTACTATTGGAGGAGTCACCCAGCTTATACCAAATTGGTTAACTAATCTCATCTAACACCTTTTATGTCATCTCACAGTGAAGGAACAAGTGAGAATGAGTCTCCCCTCCCTTGTAACACATAATGCAACTGTCCAGGACAAAACTTTGTTAGGCCGACCGACTTGTAACATCTCCTTAATGTTGAGCCTTCAATGAATGGTTGTTCATACAAACACGCTGAACTTAGACGGAACTGGAGCTTTACAGATGTCCTTGGCAACAACATGATGGTTTTGGGTGACTTACAAGCATATTGACTCGTAGAATCTAATGCCTGAATTTTGGTGTTAGGCTGAGGGGTTAGGTGAATTGGTTCCAACCAAATTAGGAGGTTGAATTTATTTGGAATCTTCTTATCGGATATGTTACAATCGAAATAAAAATTCCAGGCTACTCCACCCTCTATGATGTAATTAAAGCAAAGATGGAATCATTGTGATTGGATGAAAGGTTTTACAATCATAGGAATTGGTTGGCCAAAGAACAATCACCCATGCATGTGTTCTGCCAAAACAGCACTCTAGAACCATCTACCATTTTTAGGGCGGGTGGATGGAAGAAACGAGTATATGAGATGGCTTCCCAGGGACCTCAATGAGAGATGGACCCCCTTGCTAAGACATCTATATATTCCTGCTACCCCTATAAATGTTTTTGTTAACTTGATGCTAAAATAAGAGTTCGGTTCCTGCCAGAAGCACCAAAAAGCATTTAACCAATAAAGACAGATTTTTATGAAATACTATACAAGAATAAGATCACCAAATCGACCTTCCCCAGGAAGGTCTTGATTGGTGTTTGGGTAATAGGGAACATGCTAGTTGGATTCAGATACATTTAATGAGATCAAAATCAAGAGTCATTTGGGACCTTGGAATTAATAAGGCTCTTGAGATGGTTTTACTATTGCCTTTCTTCCAAAGTTCTTGGTATATTATTAAAGGTGATTTTTAATGGAAAGATAGGTATTAGTATGAATTCTATATTTTTATCATTTTAATCCCTCAAAAGGTTGCTCTACTAAGATGTTCGATTTTTGTTCCACCAGTTTAATTATGAGCGTTTGTAAAATTATCTCTAGAGTGTGTTCAAAGGGAGAAACTAATTGCTT